CTGACTCGGGTAAAAAGTCTGTTACCCTACAGCACAGCTACGCATGCTGATCCTGACAAGAGGACTGGCAGGTGCTCTAATTGACTTCTTGGGCCACACACAGTCAGGAAAAGAGGTTGAGAGGAGCATCTTGGGAAGCAATCAAAGACTAGACTCTTCCCACAACACAAGGGAGAGGGAATGGGCTGACAGTGTTCCTAGTCAATTCTACACCACACTGAAACAGCATCAGAAAACACACACTGTTCCCGAATGTCTAAAGCTATACTACCTAGTATAGAATCAAATTCCATGTGGACAGACAGAAAACTGGGTGGAATTCCCACTCAGAGGAGGGACTCTTTTGAGAGTAATTGGATTCCACTATGATAAGCCGGGAGCCAAGAGGGAGGCTTTCGCTGCAACGGTGACTGTGTATACCAACGAGAGGAGAGGTAAAGGCAGGAAGAATATCAGCAACCATTACTTAGAAATAATACTTTCTTCCTTTTGCTCCCCCAGGCCAACATTCCTCATTAGCACTGCAGGCAGAAGTATGTAGTATTGCAATCAGAGAACCAAAACATAACAGACAAAAACAGCAAAGCAGAAACACTGCATCTGTAATACAGAAGTGGAAAGTGTTTTCACATGCATCAATAAATTAAATTTCATAACAGCCCTATCAGGTCTATATAATCACATTCAATTTGTAGAAAAGGAAGCTTAAGATACACTCAAAAGTTTAGAAATATTCCTTAGCTATTAAGTGGCAGAGCTATAATCCAAATGACTTTGGTAATACTAAGACTAAAACTCTTCCCTTAATATTAAAGTGCTTTTCTTAGAGTAAGAAAAGCATTAGGGATTACTTTATCATCATGGTACCTGAGAGCTGACTGAGTAGTATGTATGACAAATTAGAACATTATAAAATTCATTTTTTTGAAAGCACTACAATTTTGCCAAAGATTAATATGGGTTTCCATTTTAGGTAACTATAAAAGAAAAAAAGACCACATTATTTGCCTAAAATATATCATAGCAATGGCCACACTTTTATGAAGGTGCTCTGTAGGCACTTCCAGATGTGGGACACGTGCAAACATGCATGCATACATGCACACGCGCACACACACATACACTCCCCCACATCAGCTAACACCAAACTGACCCTCACCTCACTTCATATGACCAATCCTAGGGACTGTGTGTACAAAGCACACAAAGCTGTTTCCACAACCTGCTTCTGCCATAAATGACTGCCCAATAAAACAGAAGTGAATGATTAACTTTTGCTCCCTTGAAGTCCCTGAATAAGAAAAAGTGTATTTCCTGAATTGGCTTTGCATGAGGGAAACTAACATTTCTCAAGGTCTCCAAAGAATCTTTAAAAATGTTTGTCATTCTAAATTAACACAGATAAAAGACACTGAAGAAATCAGGTCCCCAATTGAAATATTTACTAATCACATGGGTATTTTTAATCTAAACTATCCAAAAACATCTGCTTCTAAGCTGCCTTTGCTTTCGAAACACCTGGAGTTCAGACAGTGATTGCACTAGCCAGAATTGGCATGATAATAGCAGCAATGATTACAATACACATCAGGTTATTTGCTACACTCAGGTGATATACAGGCCATTAGGGAAGAAAGGCAAATAAATTAGGGCCTTGAAGTGAAACAGGGATTGATCAGCTGAGATGGGAACTACTGTCACTTGAAAAACTTGCAGAGCTCGAGTCCTAGGGAGATAAATCTGGTTTCTCTGAAGATCTGATGGTTCAAATGGCAGCAACTGCTGAAGACAAGTTTCAACAGACTCAGAGACGAAACAATAAATGAGTTCAAGGCCCTTGGAGGAGAAGAGGTCATGGGGAAAGCCTGAACTTTGGTTTCACCTGAAAGAACAATAATACCAAGGGTGAGCTGGAATAGACCAGTTCTCACAGGGACTGAGGCTTAGTTTCAGATCATCTCAATCGCCAACTAGATTAAGTAAATATGGCAGACATTTCCAGAACTCAAAGTAAATTCTCTGTAGAGAAAAACTGCATGGGGATTTTTCACAATTTGGAACATTCAAAAAAAGTAGAAGAGAAGGAAGGGGGAAAAGAGGGGAGGGGGAAGGTGGGGAAACAAGTTAGTATATTCGGAAACAAGATGTGAACAGGCAACAAGAAGCAGCTCGACCTGACAGCCAGATATTCATTACAAGATACAGACAGTAAAAACTAACTAAAACCCTAGTGAAACAGAACCACTGACCCAGCAACTGACATCAAATATAGCGACAATCCCAGAAGCTTAAAAAGGCAGTTTTTGTTGCTTTTCATGGCTAAAGAGAGATATAATAAGGTATTAACACAACTTATATATAAGTAGGAAGTGCATAGGTACCTATTACAAAGTTTTTTGTAACTTTCCCAGATATTTGCAATATTTTATAAGCAAATGTTTAAAAGAGAAGAGAAAGTATGGTTAGAGAGAGATCAGAAAAAAATTACAGTACTTAAGACTTCAGAAGTCACAGTCAAGAGTTCATACTTTATTCTGCAGACAATAAGAGCTTTACACAGCATCAGATTTGCCCTGAATAAACATCATCTAGTTCTAAGATCACATCCCAGAGAGAGTGAAGGCCTGAATCCACCAGGAGGCCAAGACAGTAACCAGACAGAAGATGAAAAAGCCTGGCTCCTAGAAATATAGTCATGCAAATTTGTAGGATGGATTGACTTTCTAGGGACTTGGGGCTCATTCTCAAATGAACCTCAACCCAGTCAAGTCAGGAGCAAATGAAACCCCAGTGACAAAGACAAACTTTTCATTACAACACGGACAGCATCCAGGACAGAGTCTGGGACTGATGAAATGAAACTTTTGAATTCTTCTGTAAATCCTTAGGAGAAATGCAAGCAGTTATAAAACTGGAAGCTAATAAGCACTCAGCTCAACACCAGATGGTCAGAGAGATACATTCACAACTTGCCAGGATTCTGAAGCCTTAAACACACCCTTCCAAACAGGCAGATGCTTTGATCTGTGAGGGAAAGAATTCTATTTTAGATCCTGACAGTAAACGCCAAGTGACATCTCGCCAGTTGAGAATGGCGTCTCCAACCACAAACGCACGGAGGTTTGCGCAGAGCCTTTGACTTCTACCTCTACCAACCCTGTAACAAAGTATAGAATAATGGGGGGGGGGGAGAAGGGGTTGAGAGAGCAAGTGCCTTTAAAACCAACATTCTCACCTTCACCCAAAAGGGAGACAGACTCACATTGCTGAATTACTCCTGAACAGCCCATGAGTTTCTTTAAGAAGATGAGTTAAGCACGTATCAAAAAGAAACTTACCAGACTTTTAAGAAAAAATGGCCTGAGGTACAAAGTCTGATAAATTTTTCAATTATTCTGATCTGTTTAACCCTCCGGAGAGAGAAACTGAAGACTTCATTATCTTTATTATAATCTTTGGTGCCTTTGCAAAGGTTAAGTTTTTGAAATAAGTACATTAAGTTCCCAATTTCCTTTGGCCTATTTATGAATGTTGATTAGTTTGCTAGAATGAGATTATATGATATTTTTCCCCAATCTGTTCAAAGAACAAAACAAAATATTCAGAGATAGGGTGGGAAGGTGGCTCAGTGGTAGAGCGCTTGCCTTGCATGCATGAGGCCCTGAATTTCAATTCCTCAGCACCACATAAGCAAAAAGAAAAAAAGCCGGAAGTGGTCTGTGGCTCAAGTGGTAGAGCGCTAGCCTTGAGCTGAGCTGAGGGACAGCACTCAGGCCAGAGTTCAGGCCCCACGACCGGACCCCCCCAAAAAAAAATATTTAGAGATATTCTTTTTTTTTTTTTGGGTCCGGTCGTGGGGCCTGAACTCTAGACCTGGGCACTGTCCCTCAGCTCTTCAGTTCAAGGCTAGCGCCTCTACCACTTGAGCCACAGCACCACTTCCAGCTTTTTCTTCTTATGTGGTGCTGAGGAATCGAACCCAGGGCCTCGAGCATGCAAGGCAAGTGCTCTACCACTGAGCAACCTTCCCAGTCCCGAGATATTCTCTTTAATGGAAGTACTTCCCAAACATGTGCCTAATTAGGGTCTTAATTTTGATATATTCCGCTGGGAAAGTTCTGTTTTAAAGCCAGGGTAGTATACTAGTTGCATTGGGCATTCTCTACATACCAGAATAAAAATAAAACAGACCCAATAAGTTCTCTTCAATTCTCAAGTATTGGATGCACTGGCTGGTCATAAAAAGAAGTTCAAAAAATTATCTCTAAACAACTCAAGCTCCTGACTCATATTTACCCAAGAAAATACCCATTCTTGTTTGCTCTGAAGAAAGCAACTGAATCAAAATTTCAACCTGTCAAAATCCAGGGAAGTATACACCTATCTATGGAAACTATACACTACAGATCTAAATAGTTAATACTGAAACAGGAATTTTCCAAATCAAATCTATGAGACTGAATTTGATTTCTGCAGTTACAGGTGGAGTCTCAGTATCACAATTCAGCAGAGCATATAAAATTATAATCTTCACACAACATTCTAAAGTGGAAATAAAAGTTATATGCTTATGTGAACACCATTATATGTTATAGACTGTGATAGACAATTTGCTCCAGGAAAGTTAGAATGAACTTGTGACTTTAAATGAGCATCATTATTCCACAATACTGTGAAATTCTGGAAATTATGTAATCAATCACAATAAAAAAAAAAAGAACCTCAGGGAAGGTAGGGAGGGAAGGGATGGTAGGGGGAAAACAATGGAGGGGGTAACAATGTTCAAGAGGAAGTCTACTCATTACCTCACTCATGTAACTGTAACCCTCTGTATAGTATCTTTACAATTAAAAAAAAAGTTATATGCCTAAGGGTCTGGAGAAATTCAAGTTAAGACTCAATATTCAAGATAATAAATATCAGGATAAACACATGAAATCCTGGCTGCAGTCTGCTCTGAGTGTCTCTTACAAAATGTGTGCTCTGAGAACAATACTCACTGGGTTGGGCATGTCTTCAGCTGAGTGGTGAACCGTCCACCAGTCTGCAGTCCACTCCCACACATTCCCTACAATGTTGTACAGGCCGTAGCCATTGGGAGGAAAGGTGTCGACCTAAACATAAAGGAGGGAAAAAGAATGCTGTCAAAAGTAATTGTCTGGCTGGGTGCCAGTGGCTCACACCTGTAATCCTAGCTACTCAGGAGGCTGATATCTGAGGAGCTTGGTTCAAAGCCAGCCTGGGCAGGAAAGTCCATGAGACTCTTATCTCCAATAAATCACCAGAAAACCGGAAGTGGTGCTGTAGCTCAAGTGGCAAAGTGCTTGCCTTGAGCTGAAGAGCTGAGGGACAGCACCCAGGCCCAGAGTTCAAGCCCCATGACAGACAGAAAAACAAAAACAAAAAACTACTTGCCTGTTTTTAAAAATGGCTTTGGAGCAGAAAATGCACCAAAAGCTATCATTTCTGAGTATGACTATTAATTTTCATTCCAACACTCAAAATACAATTTGGCCAATATAAAAACAAAGCAAGCAACTGTTTGTGGCTTTGAGCTCTCAAAAAGAGTTTAGAAATGTAAGGGGAATTTTATTAAATGGCACCAAAGCCAGTGAAGTTTTTCCTATTAAATGGCCTAGAAGCTAGTGTAATTATTTAATTGATAGACTAATACTGAGCCCCTAAGTCAAATTTCTTCAACTCTGTGTGTGTGTGGAGGGAGGGGGGGTATGGGTGTAGGTGTGGGTATACAGAGGTGATACTTAAGACCTTCAGAATCACTAATGGGAATACCATACTTAACCCAAAGCTAAACTTGCCACCAAAGCTAAACTTCTCTGACCATACCACTAGCTTCTTTCATCATCGTGTGTGTGTGTGTGTGTGTGTGTGTGTGTGTGTGTGTGTGCATGCGTGTGTGCGTGTGTGTGTGTGTGTGTGTGTGTGTGTGTGTGTGTACTGGAACTTAAACCTGGGACCTGGACACTGTCCCTTAGTTTTTAGCTAAGGCTAAAGCTCTAGAACTTGAGCCAAAGTTCCACTGCTAGCTTTTTGCTGATTAACTGGAGATAAGAGTCATGGACTCTGTTACCCAAGCTGGTTTTGAACTGTGATCCTCAGATCTCAGCCTCCTGAATAGCTAGGATTACAAGTGTGAGCCACAAGCACCCAGCTTTCATTCTCCCTCTTATATTTAAGACTTGGCCCTGTGATTAAAAACCTGAGGAGACTTGTTTTTATAAGAGGAATGTGAATTCATTATCAAGTGTGTATATATAATAGAAGGTCTGCAGTCTCTGGAACCTAGAATTTGGAAGCAAATTATACATTCAACAGTGAATTCTACCATATTTCAAAGGCAGGTCAGAGAGTACCACGAAACACTAAAAACACTATCAGACACAGAACCAAAGCACAGACTTTCTATAAAAGAGTGTGAGGGGAAGGGCAAGAGAACAAACTTGAACAGAACAATAGTAAATGCTGAGCAGATCTGCTAGTTTTGTTGACTTAAAATTTTCTCCCTGATTTTTTTGAATGGAACTTTTCAAACATAGAAAAATTATCCTTTTTACATGAAAATAATTAAGCTATTGTTGGAATTTTGCATCCTTTAGTAATGCAGTGGGACAAAAACAATGATGAAACATTCATTTCTATGTAGCTTCAGATGGCTTTTCATCTTCACATGAAATGGCGGCATCTGCTGCTTGGATCATTCAGAGAATTTCAACCAAAGTGAGGATACAACACTGAAAAGAACGTCATCTAGAGCAGTTGGAAAGCTGAAATATTCTACTGCTCTGCTTCCATAATCAGCATTCATTATGGAAGCAGCAGAACTTAACACACTGGTTCATTCAGGAATGCCATGCAATTTAAAGACAGAGAAGGGCCCAATGGCAAAGACGATCCCAAAAAAGCTTAATGAGAGAGAAAACAAGCAAATGCCAAAAACTGAAACTCCAGTTCTGCAAGGGAGAAGGGAATGTGTAAGGGAACACAGTGAAAGGCAATGGCACAGAAATTACAAGAAGTTTCAAGAGGGAGAAGGTTCTAGGTAAAGGGACTCTTTAGAAAGGTGGGAGTGTTTTGAGCAGACTGAGTTCCAAGAGTAAGAGAGACAGGAAGCAGGAGAAACTTGTGTGTAAGGTATTTCTTCAAGAACATGGAGAAAGCCAGGTGCCAGTGGCTCACGCCTGTAATCCTAGCTACTCAGGAGGCTGAGATCTGAGGGTCAGAGTTCAAAGACAGCCTGAGCAGGAAAATCCATGAGACTCTTATGTCCAATAAACCACTAGAAAACCAGAAGTGGTGTTGTGGCTCAAGTAGTAGAGCACTTGCCTTGTGCTGAAGAGCACATGGAGATGACCAGAAAGAGGTCAGAGCAAGGTAGACTAATAGCTAGAAGTAAGAAGGAAAAGAAGAACTCCATTTGCTTCACAGGGAGAGTAGAAGCAGCCAGGGGAGCAAGAGCAATAAGAAACTGAAACCAAAAATGGAGGAAAGGCTTTTTGTCAGGCCTGTGCCATGCCCACGTGGAGGTGCCTCAAAGAGTCTACCTGAGCTCTTTCTACGATCCAGCACATTCAGCTAACATCAGACAAGCAGTGCAAATACATCTGGGCGCTGCTAGTCCATACATGGGAAAATAATGGTTCCCTACTCAAACCTTGGGGCAGGTCTCTGAAATAATTTGATGTCTGATGTAATCATATCTGGAGGTCACCATTCCCTAAATTACTGTATGTGAGCGTGCCAATAAGAAAAGTCAAGTTTTTTAATTGTTCCCGGGTAAAATACTAGCTTCTCAAGAATCTCAAAAGGAAATAAACGTGTAACACAAAGTCTTTTGACATGCTGTTTCAGATAAGCAAGAAGATACATGTTAGAAACAAAAGGAGCTAGTAATAGTGTAACGGTGGCCTAGCAAAATTAAGAATTCAACTTTTTGGTTCACAGTGGTCAGAATGTTTTGATAAATTTCAAGTCTGAGCTGAAATAGTAAAATGTATATAATGTATACAATCTTAGGCAAGCAAGCTATGTCATTCTAGTCCATCCCATCATTCAAGTTAAATTTCTGCCTGGCATGGTAGCATACACCTCTAATTCCAGCACTCAGGAGGCTGAGGGAGGAAGATTGAGAGTTCAACACTTGTCAGGCCTGTATCAAAAACGAAAGTAAAGAAAAAGTTAAATTCCAGCTTTCAAATACCTACAGCCTGTGTACTGTTCAGAGCAGCTTAGTTGGAACCACGGTAATTCTTTTTGTGAGCGGTTTGAATTTAACTCACTGAATTTAACTCATTCCAACACAGGTAGAAGTCACCTCTTGTGGTTTGACTACTTTCTGCTCAGTTCTTACTTCTCAAATTGGTTCCCTCAGAACCCCGGATAAACCATCCCAATTTTAGTAAATTTCACAGCAAGTTCACAAGTAAGCTTTATGGACAGCTTCGAAACTCATTGTTAAATGTTCCCACTGTAAATATCTGGAAGGCTTCCTAATTTCACAATGAATCTTGTGTTTCGGCAAAGGTGTACCAACATGGCTCCATTTTCCTTTGCAGTTCATTTACTCAAATGCAGACACAAAATGTGAGAGCAATGTCCAAGAGAGTTATATACTGTGGTCTCTTACTAAACCTGGCAGGTGCCTGTATCATTTGTCTGGTTCATCAGAAACAGTTATCACAGAAGTCTGTGGGCAACAATGGTGGCCACATGACCCAGGCCTGCCATCTCTCAGGACCAATCTCTGCTGTACTCGAGCCTTGGAGGCTCTCATTCCACATCTGCTCCCATGACAACTGAGATCTACATCTAAAACTCTGCCTTAGCCCTTGGCCTTGACCTCCAAGTTTCCGCTGCTGTTGTATCATCTCAACACAGCATCCATGAAGGGGACCCATGCTGCTGAAGTCCTTTCCAGTGCAACCCGTTTCCTGTGTTAGCTGCAAGCTTGCACAGGTGAGGCGCTACATAGGTCTCAGCAGATTCTGATTCAGTCACTAGCTCGCCAGCTGTCTAACATCCAACAGCTCTCCTATGGTCTTATGGGCACTCATTCCAGGCACCTTCGCCATATTCTGTCCACCCTTCAATGCCACTTCTGCTTGCCTAAAGGCGCCCTAGGCACGCGTGCTCCACACCAACAAGCTGGGTTTCTGATCCATTTGAAGTTGGATAAAAAAAAGTTGAAATCGTTTCTGCAGAGAATTTGAATCATTTATTTTACTGAATAAAACTATGCACTTGGAGAGCAGTAGCTCTCCTGATGGGAACTTGGGAGGAACCAGCTACCAGATGGTTCAATTAGTCTTTTGCCGGTATTGAATAATGCATCCATTTCCCACCAGTTAGTGGTGCTTTATCTTATCCACAACTCACATATATGGAATCTGATATAAATATACACATATGCACTCATATGCTTATTTAAGGAAGAAATATTCTCATGAAATTTATTTATTTCATATATTAATTTTGCTCCAAAAATTACCATGCTTTACCTTGGCTAAAACTAATTCTATTTCTCCTAGGTCAAGTGTCTCCTTGTTCTACATCCTTTCCAAAAATACCTGGATCTTGACACACTTCTTTAGTTTTTCAGTTGCAAAGGTAATTGCTTGGCTATATTCCATGGATAAATATGACTTATCCATGTCACACTTACAAATACATTTCGGAAGCAGTATTTTTCATGAAACAAAAATGGCAAATGTTGAAAAAAAGACAACTGTTTGAAAGACTGTTGAAAGAAAATGAGTCTCTGTCACAAATCCAGTTAAGAGCTATTTCCTCACCTCAAGATTTCTCTTCTCACTGTGTCAAGCACAAATTGGCATGATTTTGCTATGGTCTGAATGATGGTGTCCCCTTCAAAATTCACGGTGCAATGGAATCCTCAATGCAGTATTACTAAGAGGGGTGATAAGGAGTGACAAGTGAGACGAGTATACAAAGGGACTAAACTGAAGGAGGAAGTGCCATCGTGCCTTCTGCCTCCTGCCCTGTGAAGCCATGAACAGCTGTTCCCTCCAGAGCATGCCAGGGAGGCCTCTATCTCCACTTCCTAGCCTCCAGAACGATGAGACATGAATCTCCCATTGCCCACAACACTCAGCCTGCAGGATGTGGTGATAGCAGCACCAATGCACGAAGACGATTTTTAAACATGGCTTCGTTTATGGCATGACTTGCCCGCCAATGAGCAGTGAGAAGAATCTCCTGTATACCAATGAAGGAAAATAAGCCACAGCTGCTCTTCACCACCACTGGGCCAAATGCGAAACTTACCAAGAAAGCTACCTAGGGCTGAGAACTCAGTTCGGTGGTTGAAATTATACTTAGCCACATACAGGTACTAGGTGCAATGCTCAAGAGAGAAGAGGAAGAGCAGAAAGGAGGGAGGACAGAAGGGAAGAAGGACACAAGAAAGAAAAAAAGGTGTTCCTAATCTTTGACTCATTCATTTCATAGCCAGTACGTACACTAGCTTCAAAAAATTTCAGATAATACCTCAGTATTGATATAGGAGAATAATCATCTTTGTTATTACTGTATTGTACAGGGGAAAATCAGAAAGAAACTAAATCTATAACCAAGGACAATAAATTAGGATCGATTCATCTGACCGATCATCTAATTTCTGAAAAGCAATGTGTGTGACCTACTGTTGTAAGAGATAATGTTCCTGATATTAACTGTGTGAAAACAGTAAGATATAATACTGTAGCCAAAGTGATCTAAATGAAATATGTAAGAAAAACACATGAGACACATACACTAGAAATACACGTTGGTAAATTTGGTAATGTGGTCTTAGGAGAAGACCACAAAGGTACAATGCAGCCAGGTGCCTGTGGCTCACGCCTATAATCCTACCTACTCAAGAGGCTGAGATCTGAGGATCACATGCTCTTATCTCCAATAAACCACTATAACACCAGACGTGGTGTTGTGGCTCAAGTGGTAGAGCGCTCACCTTGAGCTGAAAAGCACAGGGACAGCGCCCAAGCTCAAAACAACAAAAAAAAAGGTACAATGCCTATGCGCATCTGATCAGATACGGTAATATTTATCAAAATGAACTCCAGGAAATAGAAACAAGAGTTTTTTTTTTTTCTTTGTTACTGTTCTTGTTTTCTTTCCTTGTTTGTTCATTGATCTGTCTCTGGGAGGATGGCAGGGAATACAGAAATGGAGGGACAAAGGGTGAACAAAGACAGCAGTGGTACTCACTAGACACTATGTTGAAAATGAACCATACCATTTATAGGTAGGGACAGGAGAGAAACTGAGAAAGAGGGAAGGGGTGACACTGTCCAAAAAGAAATGTCCTCTTTACCTGACTTACTTAACTGTAACTCCTTTGCATATCATCTTTATACACACAATAAAAAAAATTTTTAAGTATGGGTTTGGAAACAAACCGACCTGGTTCAAGTCCCAGCTGTGCCGCTTTCCAGCTGTGTAACCTTGAGCAAGTTAGTTAACCTCTCTGTGCCTCAGAATGCTCACCTGGAAAACGGGGACAACAGTACCTGCCTTACAGAGGTGAATGGACAGTAATGAGACCGTGCATGCACATGGCTTACACCATTTGAGAGTTCATTGCCAAGTGCGTGCTGGCACACAGCAAGCACAATGACTAGCCAATATTATCACCACCAACAGAATGAACGGGGAAAGCACAACGTTGCTCACAGGGATTATTTCCTCGTAGTGGAATTCCAGGTCCGTTGAGCCTTCTCCTTCATCCTGCTCTGTTTTTCTAAATGTTCCATGGGATCAGAAAAAAAAAATGCCTCATCAAAGAAAGCATCTGACTAGCTGCTGGCACCTGCCACCTGGGAGAGTAGATCATGAGTGCAGAAAGGAAGGCCTGCGCTAGCACTTGTGACACGCTTCGCCCGGTTTCCACCCAGCCTCCTGCTCAGCGGTGCTGCCTTTCTCTGGAAGCTTCCCTACTCACAGGCGCAGTTCCTCGGAAGCCGTCCTCACCAGTGTTGGTCACGGGAAACTCTCCCTGCCAAATGTTGGCATAATGCTGGCCTTTCGGCTGCAGCTTGTTGCCCCAGGGGAAAAGCCTGTTAGGAGAGACACAGGTGTCAGCCCAACAAACAGGCCCAGGCTTCTAGAGTGAAGTCAGGAGAGAAGATGCAATGGAAGAGAACAAGACTCATTAGTTCTATGTAGGCCGTTAAAGAACACACACACACACACACACACACACACACACACACGTGCACAAATACAGACACAAAGAAACACACAAATAATCACTTGATCATTTCCAAAGAAATACACATACACACATACACACACACACACACACACACACACACACACACACACAGATTCTAATCTGGGTTTTTATAAAATGTCTTTATTAACAACTCATACCAAGTTTACAACAACCTCAGACTCTCCTGAGTACTGCAAAGGCCTAAAGTAAGTCACAAAACTGAAAGAAGAGCTTATAGGAAACTGGAAGAGCAGACATCACTCTGGACTTATATGGAAACATGACTGGGCACCATCACGCCACACTTTTTTTTTTATAAAGCCTCAGTTATTTTAAGGAGCTTTTCCTAGAAGATGTGACCTAAACATGAGTTTTGTCTCGTGGCTCTAAAAGCAGAGAAATACCACTGCTTCAGAAGATGTCTAAAATAAGAAAATGCTAACAGCAAGGCAGGCTGCCAAGTAGCTCTGAAGAGTAATATGTTACACAAGGGGGAATGATTTGCTGGAACTTTCTCCAGGACTGCAGGAAGAGCCCATTCGGCTCCGGGGACGGTAAAGGTTGGTGACTCATTCACCAGTGTCACCTAAAAACCTCATAAGGAAGAAGAATACCCAGGAAGACCAAGAGTTGTTCTTAACCAATTTCTTAACCGAAGTCCATCACTGCTCAGCAAGATGAGGCCTCACAGTACCTGTTGTGCAGGCCTCCCCGGCAGCTGTACTCCCACTCAGCCTCCGTGGGCAACCGCTTCCCTGCCCATGCGCAGTAGGCAACAGCATCATTCCAGGAGACATGCAGAACTGGATGATCCGGCCTGGGCAGAAGCAGAGCAGTCAGGAGAGCACCCACAGGAACAGGAAACAGGAAGTGGCTCAGCAGAGTTGCCCGTCACCATCCTTGGGCCAGCCAATGACACTGTAGCAAGTCCTGCTCCTGAATTCCAGTTCTCCATGCCAGATCTGGCCCCTCCATGGAGGGTTTCTGGTGTCCCAGACTTCCAAATGGGTTATGATTCCTCTTGGAAGTAGATACAAAGCATGTGTTCACTTTGGGTCCGGTTGTGGGGCCTGAACTCTGGGCCTGGGCGCTGTCCCTCAGCTCTTCAGCTCAAGGCTAGTGCCCTACCACTTGAGCCACAGTGCCACTTACGGCTTTTTTTTCTTTTTGCTTATGTGGTGCTGAGGAATCGAACCCAGGGCCTCAGGCATGCAAGGCAAGCGCTCTACCACTGAGCCATCTTCCCAGCCCCCATGTGTTCACTTTGTAGGCTTGGGTTCCCATAGGATTGCAGGGAGATAATACACAAGGATGGGCTGTGCCTAAACCACCTCGGGAAGGCAGGAGGGCTGCTCCCTGCTGGAAGGGCCAGCAGCAGACACTTGCAGCGCCCTCAGGGTCTGCACAGTTGCAGTCTCCTCAGAGCTACCACTGCCTGAGCAATGCAGGGACACAAGAACGAGCCATTCTGGTGCACTGTAGCTCCACCCTACAGACCACACACACACCCCACGGCCCCATGCGCTGTCAGGCAGGACTTCAATGAGCCTGCGTTTTTGCTTCAGTCCTGTTTCCAACCCTCCCTTCCACAGGGTTAATCCCATGGCAAACAGCCTCCATTTCCCAACCTGTGCCTCCTGGCTTTAGTAACTTTGCATCTTTTTTAAAAACATTCTTGTAAAGGTGAGGTACAGAGGGGTTACAGTTACGTAAGTCAGGTAATGATTCCGTTTCCTTTTAAACAGTGTCACCCACCTCGTCACTCTCTCCCAGTTGTTCCCCTCCTGTCTCCCCTCCTCCCCAAGTTGTTAGCTCATGTCTAACATCGTGTCTTACTTTTCCAGCTGGATTAGACACCTCTACTGGCTATGCTAGCCAATCCCAGGTCAGTCTCCCTTTTACCTGAGAGGATAGGGGGTGAGGGGAGAGAGGAGAAAGGCCGTTTGGATTGAATCCTTGTCAGCTGTTTTCAAGTAGACATACACCTTCCTGGTCCCTTCCTCATGCATCTTTGAATTCTCCATATAACCATGATAGCACTTTCATTTGTTCTTTCAACAAAAGTTTACTGAGTACCTATTAGGTGCCAGTCACTATGTTCAGCACTTAACAAGACAGTACTTTTCTCAAAAGACTGACTCAGTCAACGTCTTCTGCATGATTTAAAAATACATTCCACACTAAAAATGTAGCTCAGTGGAATGTGTGCCAACTAAACTCAGGACCCTGGGTTTGATCCTGAGAACCACAAAAGAAATTTAAAATTACTTTTTAAAAAGGCCAATTCAAGAGGAAGGGTGAGCAAATGCAGTCACTGTATTCAATATATATGATGTAAAAAATGAACTACGGAACTTGTGGGAAGGGACTGGAGGGGGGCAAATGGGGTAGAATGAAGAAAGGGGTGACAGTGACCAAAAAGCAGTTTACTCATAAATTAATTATAGAATTGTAACCCCTTTGTACAACTACTTAATAATAACAAAAGAGAGAGCGACAGAAGGAGAGGAAGGAAGGAAGGAAGGAAAGAAGGAAGGAAGGAAGGAGGGAGGGAGGGAGGGAGGGAGGGAGGGAGGGAGGGAGGGAAGTAAGGGAGGGAGGCAGGGAGGGAAGTAAGGGAGGCAGGAAGTCATTTCACTAGTAGAAAAGTTTGTGAGACTCTTATCGGCAGGTAACCACTAAAAATGTAGAAAGTGAAGCTATGGAGCAAGTTGTGCAGTGCCAGCCTTGAATAAAAAAGGCCAGGCCCTGAATTCAAGCCCCAATACCAGCATTTAAAAAAAAAAAAGCCAGGCACCAATGGCTGGCTCCACAATCCCAGCTGCTCAGGAAGCTGAGCTCTGAGGATCAAATTTCCAAGGCAGTCTGGGCAGAACTAGAAGTGGAGCTATGGCTCCAAGTGGTAGAGCCCTAGCCTTGAGCACAGAGCTCAGAAAAAGCACCCAGGCCCTGAGTTCAAGCCCCATGACTGCCTTCGCTTTTCCCCTTCTGGTGAGCTCAGAAGAGAAGATGTGGTCGGCCGCTAAGGCCGTTCTCCTCCTGAGGTGTCCAAGGACTCTATGAGCATCTCACCATCTACTGCCGGCCCAGAAGCTGCCACCTCAGGCTTCGGAAAATCCATTTCTCACATTTGTCAAAGGGCTGTACCCCTGAAGCCCAACTTTACCCATACCTAGGTCCCTGGCAATAAGGCAATAACCTGGAATGCAGTTTTAAAAACAAGAGGCTTAGGGGCTGGGAAGCTGGCTCAGTGGTAGAGCGCTTGCCTTGCGTGCCTGAGGCCCTGAGTTTGATTCCTCAGCACCAAATAAGCAAAAAGAAAAAAAGCCGGAAGTGGCGCTGTAGCTCAAGTGGTAGAGCGCTAGCCTTGAGCTGAAGAGCTGAGGGACAGTGCCCAGACCCAGAGTTCAGGCCCCACGACCAGACCAAAAAAAATAAATAAATAAATAAGAGGCTTAAAAATGCCATCTGAAGAATGAGGTTAGGAGAACAGTTTTCCTGGGCTGAGAGGCTGAGTCCAAACCCAAACCTATCTCCATCTCCAGAGTTTAAAGTGTGCCTCTATTTTTGCCTGAGATAATTACTTCCTTGCCACCCTGGAGACGTGCTGACCGACTTGTCATTCTGTGGTTTCTTTAGTTAGATGGTGGCTTCCAAGTATGTCAGCCGGTCCAGGACTAAAGATCACATGATCCTGTACTCAGGGCCTGGGTTTCCACAGGGGTCACCTGGCAGAACACAGCTACTTCTCCACAGACAGCCATGACCCACTGAAAAAACAGAATACACGAACAGATCCTGAAAACTGACCACTCCGTAAGATTCGTAACAAGTGTGTCAAAAGAGGCAGAAATCTATGAGAGAAAACTGACCAGTCAAGTGAAAAAGGAAAGAGGCTGTTAATTAAGAGGCGCCTGTGTGCGAGGCACAGTATTTGGGTGTTCACATACATCATCTTTTGCCATTCCGTTTTCCTACCAACCACTTAGGGTTTGTCACTCTGATGGTGTATTTTATAGATGAAGACAGTGACTGAGTTCTTTTGCAAGAGCATGGAGACCTGTTTTGGAACGAAAAACATGTCAAGAGGGTTATGATCAGACTCACCTGTGCAGAACAGTAGAGTCGGGCCCCTCAGGGTGTCTCCAGTCAGCTCCTTTAACAGGTAACCACCAGGGAGCTGCGGCCACCTCAAAGCAATGGAAAACCAACTCCAGTTAGCGCAGTGACTCCAGGAAAACAGTGAGCTCAGTACACACAGCAACACCAAAGTTTCACTTAGGGTCTTCAGTGCCATTTGGGCTACCAAACAGCTATCTTTTTCACAATACTGAAAATAAAGGTGTATTCCTAAAATACATCTTTAATTACAGTGTGTGTGTGTGTGTGTGTGTGTGTGTGTGTGTGTGTGTGTGTGTGTGTGTGTGTGTGTGTGTGTGTGTGTTGCCTATTCCCAAGAATTTCCAAAAGAAGCCAGGTGCCAGTAGCTCATGCCTGTAATCCTAGCTACTTAGGAGGCTGGTATCTGAGGATCGCAGTTCAACGCCAACCTGGGCAGGAAAGTCCATGAGACTCTTATCTCTGATTAATTACCCCCCAAAAAAACTCAGAAGTAGAGCTGTGGCTCAAGTGGTAGAGTGCCAATCTTGATCATAAAAGCTCAGGGTCAGCACTTAGGATCTTTGTTTTGTTCCCAAACAAACAAAAAAAGAAAAAAATGAAGTGTTAGCTAATCCTGTATTAACTTCTCCCCCTCTCTCCCTATTCCTGGGGCTTGAACTCAGCCTGGGTGCTATCCCTGAGCCTCTCTGTGCTTCAGGTTGACACTCTACTAACTTGAACCACAGCACTATTTCCAGCTTTTTCTGAGTGGTCTACTGGAGATAAGAGTCTAACCAACTTTTCTGCCTAGACTGGCTTTTAACTGTGATCCTCAGATCTCAGCCTCATGAGTAGCTAGGATTATAGGCATGGGCCACCAGCCCCTGGCTCTGTATTAATTTCTGAAAAGTGAGAGACAGGTAGCACATCTCCTAGTTAAAAAATTAGGAGGTAGTTAACTGTGTGAGTAACTGTGGTCTAAATGTACACAAGGAGATCAAAGAGCTGGTTTAAAGACCCTGATTTAATTTCCAGTCCAAAATGAGCTATGTGACCCTGGGTGAGTTCATTATTCCCCTGTCCCTGACAGCCCTCACGGGCGAAATGCTATCAGATTGCCCTAACTCAGACACCAGAAAAGGTCAAGTCAGATAAGACTGTCACCTGCTCATCAAATGGTTACTAAGACCTTAACTCCTACTTTACCATTCTGTTAACCAAGTTAACCAGCAAAAAAAGCAACACAGCATCACTGTCAAGTGCCTGGTTAGAACCACAGGCTGTGAAGGCAGTCAGAATAAAATCTGGGTTATTGCTCTTCTGGTCACCCTCAGTCCCATATCTAACTTCTCCAAGCCTGGTATGTCATTTTTAGACAGCAGCAGAAACAGCACCCACATAGAGTCATTACAACGAGGAGATACAGCAGGGGGCTTAGGGCTGGGCCATCAGTAACTCAGGCTAAGCCTTAGCAAGCAATGAGTACAGGGAATCAGTCTTGCCATGCTTGACCCTCCAGCAATCACTTTCAGGGAGCCACAAAAAGAAATCAGTATTATTGAAAATACTGACTGTAAGCTAGACCAGACTCCAGGCTATCCCCATGACATAGTGACTGTCAATAACTCACATCCTGACCAGCCTGGGTGGAGCAGTGTGTCTGCTAACAGTCACTGCAGACCCCATATCTCATTCCCTCTCCTTCTCACAATCCACACAAAACATTCACCATTTGATGGGAAAAGCCAGTTATTGTTGCCGTTGTTAATAACAAAAAAAAAAAAAAAAAGCTACTGTGCCCTTAAACCACACTACTGCCAGGCACTTTATAGAGAGCAAGGGAGCTGAAAGGTACAGCTTTTTCTCTGTCTGGCCCTGCACAACTAACCTGGTTCACTCATTGCACTTACTGACTGGACTGCGCACACTTGATGCCTGTGACAGGTAAGTCACTCGATGTCATGGGAAGATGTACACAGAACACTCGGATCACCCCACCCACATCCGCGCCCCTTAATAAGCACCACCACTGGAATGTTCTAGTAGGCTCAAATAAACAAACATGGCAAAACTTGAAACATGTTAATGTTTGTGGCAGATGCGACAAAACCTTTTTGTCTTAGACACTTTCCTATCTATGAAATAGTTCATCGCTATCTTTTTTTTTTTTTTTTTTGGCACAGATTCTGGGGCTTTAACTCAGGGCCTAAGTGCTGTTCCTGAACTCCTTTGGTCCAAGGCTAGCATATTCTATCACTTGAGCCACAACTCTGTTTCTGGCTTTGGGAGAGGTTTGTTTATCAGGGTTTTTTTTTTTGGGGGGGGGGGAGTCTCATGGACTTTTCCTGCACAAACAGGCTTCAAACCACAATCATCAGATCTCAGCCTCCTGAGTAGCTAGGATTTAAAGCATGAGCCATTTTTTTTACCTGCACATTATCAATTTTTTAAACTCCACAATTTCTTTATCCATTAGGAATTCCAGACTGGGGCTAATGCGTATCGTGCGGCATCTAATGACTATTATTGAAAGAGTCTGTGGTTTTTAGTAACTCTGCATATGCACAGATGTTTCTGACTATGAGAAAATCCCCTGGACCACAGGATGGCCGCACACCCAGCTGTAGAGCAGGCAGCCACACACAGACTTAGAAGCAAGAGTAGACTGAGGTTTCCCACTGTCTTCTGAGGGAAGACAGTGTACTGACAGTGTACTGCTGGCTGCGTACTGAAGACCCAAGGTAGCCGCTCTAGCGGCCAGTCAACCCATGTGGTTTTCCTGTCCTTTTCCCTTGTAATTCAGACTAGGTACAGTACTTATTGAGGATCCATTGTATGTCAAGCACTGGGGCCTAATTCTTGCAAGGGATCTCCACGTCCCAGGAATCATCGGAGTATGATTTAAGAGAGTATACTGATAGTGTTGTCATGCTTTATCTCATATGTAAGAATTTGTTCTTTAGTTGAAAAGGGTAAAGTACAAAATGTAAACCCAGTCACCTCATTTTCCTTCAACAATGTCTGCAAAATTCAAACTGGTAGGTCTAGGTACTACTCAGACACAGCAGGTTATAGCTTCTGATTTCATTTCCTCTCTGCTTACCTCTCTTCTTTCATTCTAAACATCTGGTTTTCATTTTTGTCACTATTTCTGTAATTCATATTACGCAAGTAGTAAGGAGAGTGACTTCCAAGGCTTGATGCACACAGAAAGAACACATTCTGGCTAGAGCAGGGATGATAGTGTCCTTGACCAAGGGCAGCAGCCTAGACATCTGGCCTAAAGCAGTAGTAGCTGAAGCAAGTATGCAGAGATAAATGAATAGTGTAGCTCTATATGATACCGTTTCCAAATAAAAATTACAAAATAATCCAACAGTCCTTGTTATCTATTCATAAAAGTAACACTATACAGTTAGTTATTAGGAGATATGACACAGAAATGGATATGTGATATGGTATAAAGGTAACCTATAACACACACCCTTGATTCTACTCTATAAATATAAATATATATATATACATATGAATATATGTATGTGAATATATGGCCAGGCGCTGGTGGTTCACATCCGTAATCCTAGATACTTGGGAAGCTGAGATCTAAGGATCATGGTTCAAAGCCAGTCTGGGTAGGAAAGCATGTAGACGCTTATCTCCAATTAACTACCAAAAAAACAGATGTGGAGCTGCTCAAGTGATAGAGCACTATCTTTGAACATAAAAGCTCAGGGACAGTACCCAGGCCCTGAGTTCAAGCTCTAGGACAAGAAAAGAGAAAGAGAACAAGAGAGATGGAAGGACGGGAGAGAGAGGAGAGGGAAAGGGAGAAAGAGAGAGTGAGAGAGGGAGAGAAGAAAGAAAGAAAGAAAGAAAGAAAGAGAGAGAGAGAGAGAAAGTTATTGTAATCAGAAGAAAAATGATATCTGGAAGAATAGAGATTCTCTTCCGGCCAAGGGTAGTAACACATGACTGTAGCCCCCTCTATGTAGGAGGTAGAAGTAAGAGGCTAACAGTCCAAGACTGGCCTCCAAGAAAAGAAAATACAGGCTGGGGCAAGTGATAGAGCACTGGTGATCGTAAGGCCTTGAGTTCAAACCCCAATACCAAGGGGGAGAAGGGAAGAAAGGATATTCGTAACAGGGCATAAACCCCAGCAGCCCAGGAAAAGGATACACATGTGACGGGGTGAAGGACTGGGAGACTGCATGAGTATGCCTCACACAACAGGTTTCCTCAGCACAGCATGGTGGACATTTTACAGACCACACAAGGAGCTGTCATCTGCACCTCTACCCACCAGAAGCCAGCTGCCACCCAACTGTAGCACACAAAAATGTCTGCAGACATTGTCAATGGCCTAAGAAGAGCGAGCTCCCCTCAGTACTACGATGACTGGGGAAAAGAAGGGCAAGTCCTGCTAAATGTCAGCCACGCTGACAGCAGCCCCACAGTGAAGAGATCTGACCTGGATGGAGCCAGTTGTCTGAGTCTGAACACAGTACCACATTTTACAAGACAAGGATCTGAAGCTCTTACCCTCTCCAGGCCCCAGTTAACTCATCTGTGAAATGGAAGTCAAAATAGTACTTCCTAGGGTTGTGGAGAAAGCCAAAATATTTTCTGGTCTAATTTATGACAAGTCTCATCCAGTGTCACTGGATGCAATCCTTTTCCAAATGTTACTATTTATTAACTCCATATTTTAAAACTTGTTTTTAAACTCCTGCCTGCCTTGAAAAGCAATTGCTAGTCCACTACATTGAGAAACTCTGATGAAGAACTGAGTTCTGAGAAATACATATTTTCAAGGAACACTGCAAATGATGACATTTCTAATCCTCTCTTTCAGAGGAACAGTTTTCAGGCATGCTGTTCTGAGTAGAAGCACAATCAGCCTCGCTGAAAGGAGGAAATCTTCTCTGGACATGGCTGTCTACCTACACATTTTCATTTCCACTGAGACCTTCCAGAGGTGCAGCCCCCCTTACATCTGGATAAAAGGTCTTTAACACCACCATCTCCATAGCAACTGTCTTGGGTCTAGGATATAACAGGGAACCCAGCCAACCAGTGACCAATTACAATG